AGAGGATGAGGGGATTGGGGAAAAACGAGGAGAGGAAGGGGGGGAGAGGGGAAAAGGGATGGAGAGGGGGAAAGGGAGGGAGGGTGAGGGGGAGGGAGGGAGGGAGAGAGAGAGAGAGAGAGAGAGAGAGAGAGAGAGAGAGAGAGAGAGAGAGAGAGAGAGAGAGAGAGAGAGAGAAGGTAAGAGATTAAGATAAAGATGAGAACGAGATAAATAGACGGATAGATAGAGAGTGAGAGAGAGTTGAATAGGAAGGCGGAGAGACAAACAAGCAGACTGAAACACACAAACACACACTAACACGCACACACACACACACACACACACACACACACACACACACACACACACACACAGAGGCAGACAGACAGAGACAAAGGCTGACATGCTCCCTCTAGAGACAGACAGACAGACACAAACAGAGTCATAAATCCGAGAAAGCGAGCGAGCGAGCCTACGAAACCGACCGACCAACAGACTGGGCGTTCAGGACTAAAGTAATATGGCAGCGTCGTACATGGAAAATGAAGGTAGGAGGTAGAAATGGAGGTCATGACTCTAATCTACGGTCGGGGTTTGGATATTCTGTGTTTAATTACTTTCCCTATAAAACCTTCGAGAGTGGTAACTATAAACTGCACGGGATGATAAAGGAGACCAATTTCGGACGGTTTCGGGGCAAGGAAACGGGCCTTTAAACATGTCACGACGTGTGGTGCTAAGAGCCGCTAGTTTGGGGCAGTGTTGCCATTTCTAGCGACTTTCCCGCTAGATCTAGAGTTTTTTTTCTTTTTTTTAGATCTAGTGGAAATATTTTTTTGAAAGGTTATTCTTTAATTGGTGATTTAAAAAAAAGTCTTTCTATTAGCTGGAAAACGAGGAGGTTTTATTCTCATGTCTAGCAGCATTTTAAGGTCCAGTCTTGTAGTTTTGTGGAAATATCAACGGCAACGCTGATATTCGGATGTCATGCTGTAGCGAAACTGGAGGCGCTCGTAGCAGTTTATTCCAAATATATTTAGATGTTTAATATGTATATATTTCTTTGTCGATAGGGCTATGTTTTATCTTTTATTTTCATTAACTGTTTTTTTTTTCTCTCTCGACGATAGGCCTATGTTTTGTTTGAATAAAAAAAAAAAAAAACGATTGATTTTTCCCCTTCTGGCTTGTTCCTAGCTGTGGTTTACTGAGACTGAACGCGTCGTAGCTGTCTACTTCAAAAGAATTTATATATATATATATATATATATATATATATATATATATATATATATACATATATATATATATATACACACACACACACACACATATATATATATATATATATATATATATATATATATATATATATATATATATATATATATATATACATATATATATATATATATATATATATATATATATATATATATATATATATATATATACATAGATAGATAGATAGATAGACACACACACACCCACATGTATGTATATATAAATATTTTCTTCTTTCTTCTTTTTTTCATCTTCTTTTTTATTGTCGATAGGCCTATGTTGTGTTTCATAAAAAAATGGATTTCTTTCCGTCTGGGTTTGTTCCTGGCTGTGGTTAGCTGAACGCGGTAGTCACTGTCTATTAGAAAAGCAATATTGTCTGAATTTTATATTTTTATTTTAATTTCACCCTCTGTTTTTGCGTTGTCGATAGGCCTCGGTTTTTTATTGAAGAAACGATTTTTATTTATTTTCAGGTTTGTACGATAAACATTCTTGCTAGCCTTCCACTCTTATAATTTGCTGGTATATATCTATATCTGTCTATCTATCCATTTATCTATTCATCTATCTGTCTAATTTCACAGCCATTTGACAAGCTATGAAGGTAATGCTATCAAATGACATCCACGGAGCGTCTTCAAGGAGAGAATAACGCTAAACAAACAAATAAACAAACAAAATAGAAAATTATAAGATATACAAGAAATGATAATAAAAAATAATAAAATATACAAGAAATTATAACAAAAATAAAATGAAATGAAATATAAAATGAATAATAAAAAAATAAAATGAAATGAAATATAAAATAAATAATAAAAAAATAAGCTATACAACAAACAATAATGAAAAAAAATCTAAATGTACAATAAATAACGATTATGAATAGATAAAATATACAACAAATAGTAAAAAAAATACATATATACAGTAAATAATAATTACCCAAAAAAATATAAAGTAAATAAGAAAAAAAAAAGAAAAGAAAAAAAAAATATATACAGTAAATAATAATAATAAGAAAAAAATATATATACAACAATAACAAATAATGAAACTGACAAACAAACGAACCACGACCCCCAAATCGACCCCGCGCGTTCCGCCTCGCAAACCGCGCTCCCTCCTCGCTCGGATTTCTTCGCCGCGCACACGCAATTTACTTCAGTTCTGCCAAGACGCGCGAGGGGGAGGACGCGTCGGTCTCTCCGCTCCGGGATGAGAGGCGGCC